TTGTCCTTGCTCCGCGCCCACTGTGGCATCTTCCCCAACCTCCTCCTCTAAAGCAACACTTCACCTAACAATTTAAATTATTTTTGCATTCTCATGGTCTAACTTCACACAAATAAAATATAAACTTTTAAATTAATATTTAAATATATCTGTTATTCAGCCTATACTATATTATATATTTATTGTATAACTGTGAAACCATTAATTTTGAAAAAAAATTTATATAAAAATTAATTATTATATAAAATAAATATATTATATAAACTACATATATAAATATTATTAATTGAATTTAAATTTTAGAAATTATAGTTTATGTTTTATCTATCACAGTTATTTTTTTAAATGAGTTTATAAATTATATTTAGATATTTTTAAAATTTAATCTAATTATTTTTTCACATTTTTATATTAAAATAAAACATTATAAAATATTAAATTAATTAATAATAAATAAATAAATAAAATTATATAAGTATTTTATATTTTTATATTATATTACGTATAGGTTAATTTTTTATAATAATAAATAAAAATAAATTTTTTTATTATTTTTTACTTCCAAAAATTATTATAAAATATTTTTTATTTCTTAATTTTGTGTCTTATATCTTTAAGATGAATAGAAAAAACAAAATTAAAAAAAAATAAAAATTATAATTTGTATGTTACAAAGATAAAATTGTAAAAGTAAAAAGTTTAAACTCACGAGAAAAACTTACAAATGTTATAAAATAAAACTATAAAAGAGAAAAAAATCGAAAATGAATAAGGGATAAAGAAAATGATAAAAATGTAAAAAAAAATGTAAATCTTACAACAAAAAAGTTGGTGGAAAAAGGTGAGAACAGGAAAAGATATAAATTTAAAGATAAAAATATAAATAAAAAATAATGTAATAGAATAAATATAATATGTATTGTAAATAAAAAATATAAAAAATTATTTTTAATTATATTTACAAAATATTTTTATTTAATTTTTAAAATGAATTATTATATATAAAAAGATTTAATGGATTTATTTAAGTTTAAAAATAATTATTATACATAAAAAAAATTAATTTTTGATGGGGTATGTGACTGTGGTGGTCATCTATACAGTCGTTATTATTTTATAAGATTAAGTATGTTTTTAGTCTTATACTTTAATGTTAAATAGTCTTTTTGTCAAAATTTATATAAAAATGATTCTTATATTTTTAAAATGATTAGAATAGATCCATATTTTAAATAACGTTAAATATATGGTGATCTGTCTAATAGAGATAGTATGACCTATTAATTATTTGACATATGTAATTATTTAAAAAAAAAACAAAGTTCTTCTTAAAAAAAATAGAAATTATTCAACGAGATATTATTATTAAAAAAAAATTAAAAGGTAGAAAATTTTCTTTTTTCCTCACACACCAAAACTCTTCAGTTCTCGTCACAACCACTTTTCATTCTCTCTCATTTTCTCGTCATAATTATTTTTCGTTCTTTCTTCTTTTTTCGTCACACACCAAAAATCTTTTCTTTCTTCCCTTTTATCTATAAAGGTTGTATGAAGTCAAAGTGACTTTGAAGTTCGAGGGTTTCATTGGTTTGTTGTGGTTCTACTGCAATGCGACAATGGTGCGAGAATGATAGTGTGCGACGGTGGTATACCATAACTAAGGTATTTATTTCAGAAAATTAAGGTATGTTTTTTCATTTCCATTTTTAAATAATGCAAAATCCAATTCATTTTAAAGATGAATGATATTTAAATTCGAAAGGAATTATTTGGACATAGATTCATTCTTAAATGATTTTTAAATACTTTAAATTTGGATTTAAATGATTTATAAATGGTAGAAAAGTTTAAATTTCTTTTTAAATGACTTTTAAATGTTATAAATGTGGATTTAAATGACTTTTAAAAGCTTGACACCTTTTAATTTTATTTTTAAAATAATTATACGTGTCAAATAATGAACGAGTCATACCATTTATGTTACACAGTCGACATATACTTAACATCATTTAAAATATATACTTATTTCAATCATTTCAAAAATATATGAATCATTTTATGTGAATTATGATAAATAAACTATTTTCAATTTCACATAAAAGTATAGAGATTAAAAACATACTTAACCCTATTTTATACGATGAATTGATGTAAGATTATTAAAATTGTGTGTATTAGAAACAAGAATTTGAAAAAGAATATATATATATATATATATATATTTTTTTTTTTTAAACAAATATTACTACAAAATTTACATATTATTTTTATAAAAATAATCAATATTTTAATATGAGAGGAAATAAACCATAAATATAAAATATGAATCACTTGTGAAAATTTACACTTAATTACTCAAATATATCACCATTTCAAATGTTTCAATACAAAATAATATATTGGAAATTATCTTTGATAACATTTTATTTTATTGAAATTCCAAAGAAGAACATTTAAACCCGAGTGTTTTTAAATATAATTAATAAAATTTTTAATTAACATAAAACTTAGTTAATTTTGTTTATTTGAGATCAAAGATAATATATTATATCTAAATTAATTGCGTGTCAGAAAGAATAATAATAATAATTAAAAAAAGAAGGTAGATTTGCATTATGTAAAGATGTGAAATTTGAATTACTTTTGGTGTCAGATATTGTATTAATGGCTTACCTAACAAGAATAAACTGTCACATGAATCTTATGCTTCTTTCTTATTTCTAAATCAAGCACTTCATCCTTCTCTTAATTATTTTCTGAATTTATGTTGAAGAGGAGAACAAATGAACATAGTGAAGAGTTTAGGCATATTTAAGATAATTTTAAATTATTATTTTATAAAAAAAAATAAAAAAATACTCAAATAAATTTTATTTAAAAACATAATGAAATGTCATCCTATCTACTTATTAACCTATAGAAAATGTTAGTTCTCAACTTTCATTGGACTAAATATATAATGTTTTTTTATTCAGTATATTTTGTTTTAAAAAATAACTAGTACTATACCTTATTTTCGAATTGAGTTTTAAAAGAGGATAATTTTAGAAGAATAGATGAACAGAAGTTTTTTTTTTAAACTAATTTGTTTAAAACTTTTGTATTTTCTTTGAAAATACCTCCTTTAAAAGTTTTACAAAAATTGTAATTGACACCATTTATTCTCATAACAAAAAAATTCAAATAAGGAAAATCTTTCTAATAAAATGTTTTTTTGTAATATGTTAATATTATTTTAGCTAATTACTATTTTTAAATCAATAATAAATAAAATAATTTTTTTAATTATTACTATGTAAATGTGTAATTATTGGTAGATTAAAAATACTATCAGTGGTAATCTCATTTCAAAAGTATTTTGTCCTCATGATTTTTAGCTAAAAAAACTTTAAAATATTTTATTTTTAGATAAATTTATTTTTTCTATAGGTTAAATTCATTGATTTTTTTTCGAACTTTATATTTCAACTTAATTTGACTGTGCACATGTTATGTTAGGTGAATATATTTACCCCTTAATTCCACAAGCTATAAAAACAAAGTTAATTTAAAATTTATAACACTTAATTTGGACATAATCATTCGCTTGTAAGTTATCCCATTTATTATGACAATGTTAGTGAATAGGTGTTGGCATTTGATATGTGATTAATTAGGGGTCAAAGTAAGTAAAACAGTTGATATGATTTAGTTTATTAAATAGTAGACTGAAAATATGTGAGTTCAATTCGATTCCCTTTATGATTATATTGAGTCTTATTTATATTTTTCAACCTACTTATTTTTTAATGTCAAAATCGTAATAGATTAGAGTTCTAAAATAAATAATACCTCAAATTTAGTAATTAACTTTAATGATGTTACATAATGAACATGAGTACGAGACATTCTCATTTTTAGAAGAAATATTATATTCTGATACGTTTATCAGTTTCACATTGATTAAAAGTGGAAACTAATGATTATTTATATACATCCTCATCTTTTAATCTATCAATGTGTCTTTTAAGATAATTTGTGGAAATGGGATCAAAACACTTCTTCCTAAATAAAATATTAGTGTTCCTCGTGATATTAAGAATATAATATTACTTTACACATTATTTAAAAATCTAGACCAATAATAATATTACAATATTGACCCTTTTAACCCTATAATAATATTATTAGATTAACCCTTTTATCCTTAATCTTATTAATGTTACTTATTTGTATACGAAGGTGAAATATTATCTTCTATTATACTCTAATATACTCATAAATTTTATATTATTTAAGAATCCGAATTAATCCTATAAATATTACTTATTATACATGAGGGTGAAATATTATATTCTAATATAGTCATATATTTTACATTATTTTTTAAGAATCCAGAACAATAATAATATTGAAAGATTCAACAATTGATGTTACCTATTGCACATGGGTGAAACATATTAATAATTTAATATTACCTATGTTAGATATGAGGTTACACACTCCTTAAAAAAAATTATATTCTACGAGTTCCTAATCGTCAGAACGAAGTCGTTCCTAATCAAAATAATTATTATTTTTATTATTTTTTATATTATGATTATTATTATTATAAATAAAGGATAAGAAAATGAGAAGGAGATCAAACCGACTCATTTTCATTTTAATTCACAATCTTGTGGTCCCATGATGCTTTTGATGTTGCGACCTGATCTCATTAATTTTAAAATTCAAACTCGTGCAACGCACGGAACTTTACACCAGTAAAAAAAAACATGGAACATGGAACGACACGTACAAGAAAAAATGCTGGTAGTAAAAAGTCGCATCTACCCTTATTGGTTAAACGAAGTTTTTGCACTTGCCGTTTACATGGTGTGTGGTGTATATATAAATTAATACCGTATCCATAGATTCCAAAGCATTAAACAAAGAGACACTGAACATTGCTCATTTTGTGCAGAATTTCTGAAAGCTCTATTCTTCAGAGTTTTTTGGGTTTGAAGTTTCTGTAATAAAAAATGATAAAGTTTGTTCTTCTTTTGCTATGCTTTGCCTCTGCACTGAGCCTTTCAGTTTCAGAGTCCAAATCTGTTTCTGTGCAACCTCGTGCAGCTGAATCCTTCTCTGCTGGGTATATTAAGGTAATTGATGAATCTTAATCTTTATGATGACTCTTTTTTTCTATTTTATTCTGGGTTGTTTCATGCACAATATGAAGGCTAATTAATACTTTTTCTTTTTTATTTGTCTTTGTTTAATAGATGAAAACGGCATCAAACTGTTCTTACTTGGTGCTTATAAGTACGAGTTGTTCATCGCCCAAGTTCACAACCGATAAGATTGGTATTGCGTTTGGAGATAATAAAGGAAACCAGGTTTTGCCTTTTTCCTCCAATGAATTTCAATTTTCAACATTGATTTATTTTATTGTGGCATGTGTTTAAAAGGGGATTCAAGATCCAGTTTTGAAGGAACTATCGATGAATAAGTTGTTTGTTGAAGGGTAATAGACAAAGTTGAACTCCAGAATCAAAGTATTTTGTAGGAGTTCACACAGTATTATGTTATTCTAAATTTTTTTATCTACTTTTTATTTTGGTGGAGCCAGATTTATTTATTGTTTTATTGTAACAGGTTTTTTGTTTTTTTAGTTTGGCAAAAATAAGTATTATTTTTCTAAATAAATTGAAAAATAAGGACTTTTGGATCCCTATTTGTTACAGTTGAAAAAATGATTTTTTTTTTGTTTATTTTGAAAGACTAACAAATAAATGTTGTTGAGTGTTGACTAACCAAGTTCTAGATGCTTGCTCATTTCAAACAAAGAGTGATTAATTTCTGTTTTTAAGATTTTAAATAAAAAATATACAGATATATTCTTACTACAACTGGGTTCATGAATTTGATGGTCTGTTTCAAGTAAAGGTGAAAATTTAATGATATTTTATCTCTCACTAATTGTTTATTTGTATCTGTTACGAAAAAATAATCACTTCTGGAATGTTTGGGGTGGTTGAAAACATGGTGGCTTCAGTAAAAGAAAAAGGTGGGTGATAACATTCTGCATTTGACTTTAAACACTAGAAATAAATAGCTTGATGACTTTTAAACAATGAGATTTTATGTAACCTAACTTGATGATTTTATAAAAAACCAGATATTTTCTTCTACATTTACTACCTAATAAAGCTTAATCTGGTGCGGCAAGTTGAACCTTTTAATCTGAGTTGTTTGCTTTCAACATGATTTATCAGGTATATGTACCAAGACTAGATGATCCACTTTCGAAGACATTTGAACAGTGTTCTTCAGACTCATTTCAGATAGATGGTGCATGTGCATCTCCCGTTTGCTTTCTGTATCTTCATAGAACTGGGGGAGAGAAAGGTTGGGAACCTGAGACTGTGAAAATCTTTGGCTACGACTCAGGGCCTGTCACTTTTACTTTCAAGACCCCCATTCCCAATGACACATGGTATGGCTACAATGAGTGTCAGGCTCCTCCTCCTCCTTCTCCTTCTTCCTCATTCCAACTATCCCCTCATAAATGGCTCATGAGTTTGGTTCTAGGCTTTGTTGTTAGCCTTTTGCTTTAATAAGTTTATGCACTTTATCAAATACACCGTAAGTCCTTTTACATTTAGCAGTGAAAGGTGAGACTTAGTAGTAGTGCACTCTATGCAGAAAACAGGGACATAACATATGATGTGTAAGACCCTTGGCCAAAGTCAGTTATTTGTGACTTTGTTTTAATGCTTTGTGGGAGTTATGTTGAATTTATGGTAATGTTATGGAAGGAGAAATGGTAGTAATAATACATTATCTTACTATTCTATTGATGTAAAAAGTTCTATTTTCACATCTATTAGACACAACAACTAATGTAAAATCACATCTTCATTTATGTTTATCATCGATGTAGAAATTAATATTGCTTGTGGTTATTAACGATGTTGTGTATTTCATCCACTTCAACTTAACTCAGCTTTACCACAATCTTCTTTCTCTAAATTAAATAGTTTGTGGAAATATATTTTGAAAGTTTATATATATATAAATTATTTTGGGAGTTTCAGAAATATGTTTTGTATTTTTTTTTCAATTATCTGAGGTATTTTATTGGGTGTATTTATATTCCTAAAAATATATACTTAATTTTTTACATTAAATATTTAAAAAAAATCAAGCTATCAAATAATTTTATTTTATAAAATATGATTGTATATATTAATGAATTAATATTAAAACAATTATTAACGTATTTTCATTATCATTTTTAATGTATTTTCAATTCGATTCTTCACTAACAAATTACGGTATTGCTTTATAAAGTGATATCCCAACCACACTAGTTATATTTTTTTTAAGGTGAGGGAATTAAATCACAACACAGAAAAATAGATTCAAAATCACGACAAAAAATAAAGATATGTACTCAAAATGGAGAATCTCAGAAAACAGTTAGAGTGGATTGTTATTAAAGCATATTACCATTATCTACGAAAGAGTGTGTAGTTTTAAGGTTGTTTACGATAATGCAGTTTTTTTTTTTTTTTTTTTCTGTATTAGCATTCACGTTTGAAAAACCTATAATTTTAATCTAATGATAATTATATTTTTTGCATTTTAATTAATTAAATTACTTCATAATTGAAATAGATATATAGTTAACGGGTCAACTCTATTTTGCTTTACCGGTTCTCCCGTGGGTTTTTCTCTCGATCTGGGTCCTTCGATTCTTAACGGGGCGGTATTCTCGAGTTTTCGTCAACCTTCCACCTTTTACCATACTCACTCAATAATCTTGAAGCTTTGGTTAACCACAGACCCAGAATCTTGAATAGCTCTAAAACTTCAAATTTCCAGCAATTTTGGTTTTTGTGGTTTGGATTTGGTGTTTTCAAGATCATGGGGTGGCACAGAAGGGGAAAGCTCGCTCTTGATCATTTTCGCAGCTTGGCTTCAAGGATTACGCCTCAGACTCCTAATTTTCAGCGTAGTTCGAGGATTTGCCAATCTGGGTATTTGGATTTATGGTCAAAAGGAGCTATCTTTAATGGGTTCTCTTCGTTTTGTTCAATTTCTCAGAGACTAAGCAGGCGAGGTAGTGTTGGAGTTAATAAGAACCTTCACAATCCGTTTCTTTTTGGGGCTAAGAGATTTTACTATGTTGATCCTTACAGTGTGCAGCATTTCAGGCAAAGAGGGCCGAAGCGTTGGTTTCAGAATCCTAGACATGTTTTTATTGTTGTGATGGTTGGTTCGGGGGTTTTAATCACTGTGTATTTTGGGAACATAGAAACAGTTCCTTACACCAAGCGAACCCATTTGGTTCTGTTGTCGAAAACAATGGAGAGGAAGCTTGGGGAGAGCGAGTTCGAAAAGATGAAGGCTGGTTTTAAGGGCAAGATATTGCCTCCTATACATCCTGATAGTCTGAGGGTGACAATGATTGCTAAGGATATAATTGATGCATTGCAGAGAGGGTTGAGGAAGGAGCAGATGTGGAGTGATTTGGGGTATGCATCAGAGCATGCTACGCTGGGAGTAGGAGATGGAAGAGACACATTGAATGCATTGGCTGCGGGGGGTGATGAGAAGATTGAAAGGAATTGGCACAAGGAGGATGAGATTCTTGATGACAAATGGGTTCATCAAAGCCGGAAAAAGGGCCAGGAAAAAGGTTCAGAGGCTGCTACATCACATTTGGATGGATTAAATTGGGAGATTTTGGTGGTAAATGAGCCTGTTGTTAATGCTTTCTGCCTACCTGGTGGGAAGATAGTTGTGTTCACTGGTTTGTTTGAGCATTTTAAAACTGATGCAGAGATAGCAACAATTATTGGACATGAGGTATTATGCTTGTGGTTGGTTTAAGTTCAAGTCCTTGTTTTTGCAATTTAACACGCTTACAGTAGCAGACCTCACGCTTACACCTTACAACTTGCTAATTTGTTCTTCTGCACAAATGATATGCAGACATGTCAGTTTATATGGGTTTTCTTTTTAATTAGGTTGCGCATGCTGTTGCAAGACACAGTGCAGAGGGGATTACAAAGAACCTGTGGTTTGCTATTCTACAGTTGATACTTTATCAATTTGTCACACCTGATATAGTGCACACAATGTCATCCCTCTTCTTACACTTACCTTTCTCCAGGCGGTATGCTTTGTTCACTATCTCTCTTCCTAACCAATTGATTTCCTGTATATCTAAATAATGAAAGATTGAAAGATAATATTTGTCATGACTTGTTGAAATGTGTTGATTTGTAAAGCAATGGGACTGCTTTGTTGGATTTCTAAATAAATTGCGTTGCTAGACCAAACAGAACCAGTAGCTCATCGCAATTTTCCTTTAATTTGACTCTTGAATTTTAACTACTTACATGTGAAACAGTATATGAGCTTGATATCAATTAATTTTCTATGAATTACCGGATAAGTATATTGTATTTTGATGAATTTTGAACTGTTTTTGAATTTGCATGATGTTTGATGAACATGATGCACATGATACGAGAGTCTGATCAGTTAATACTTTTAAGCATGGTATATTTATCCTCTTATCTTCTTTTCAATTATCTTTTTCTACTAGTTGTGCTTTCCTTTCTGCTTTTCAAGGTTGGCTTTTCGGTTGAGATTATACATGCCTGGTTGTGCTCAAGCTGCTTGTGTTTGTTCTTGGTAGATTTGCATTGAAATTGAAGATCATTATAATTATAAAAACCTCTTTTGATACAATGTTAATTATGGAGGCATTCTTCTCTGGGTTACCAACTTTCTAAAACAACCCAATTTATTCACAGGATGGAAATAGAAGCTGATTACATTGGACTGCTGTTAATTGCATCAGCTGGCTATGATCCCCGGGTGGCACCTAGAGTGTATGAGAAGTTGGGAAAAATTACAGGTAATTCTACCCTTAGGGATTATCTCTCTACTCATCCTTCTGGAAAAAAAAGAGCACAATTGTTGGCCCAAGCTACAATAATGGAAGAAGCACTTGCTATATATAGAGATGTAAGAGCAGGACGTGGGGTTGAAGGTTTTCTTTAAGACTGCATAACTACCCCTTTACCTGATTCAAACTTCAATGGAAGATTTTGTTCAATGTACTTTATAGGGAGATTCAATTTAATGCAAACTTGTACATAGTTGCAATTAACTTCTGTATTCTTATAAAAATAAAAATAAAAATACAAAAAGTACTTTTTTGTTATAAGAACAGATATGTCCTTAATTGTGCTATAATTTTTTTCATTCTTAAAATAATCTTAATTAACATAAGAAATTCCATATTTAGTAATTTTCTGATACTTTATATTGCTTAAAATTTAGAACATTCAACCTTCATTTTCATAATCAAAATTTTCCAAGACAATTTCTACAAAAACTCTTAATCTTTCCTTTCTATTTTAAGGAGACTTTTGATCATCAATAATTTGTTTTTCTCACTCTGTCTCTCTCAAAAATTATATGTATATATATTTATTTATTTATTTTTCTTCTTCTAGACTCATTCTATTCATGTAACATTCTCTTGCACTTCTCTTTCTGACTCTTGGCTTGGAAGTAGCTATTGCTCCACAGCTTCACCACTTACATTGCCATCACAATTAAATCATATTTCCATGATCACCATTTTACGCACTTTAATTAAGATATTTATTGACTTGCCATATAACATAAGGGTGTCCAAACCTAATTTTCTTTAAATATTAAACAATATTAAATGAACTATTTTTATTAAGTATTTAAGCAAGTAAAAAATCTGATATTTTGAAATATAATATAACTTTGTCAAAGTAATAAACAAAAAATTATATAAATAACTTAATTTTACCTTTTACCACGCAATTATCATCATTTCACTAATTTTATTATCCATCATACAAAATCTATCAATTCTTTAAATGTCTAAGAATGTGTTGTGCCATGGAAAAATATAATAAAATGACGACCTTTCAATTCTTTGATATTTTTTTCGTGGCACGTGAAGACACATTCACACATTTGTGTATTAGTGACATGGGTGGATATTAAAAACTTGATGGTAAAAAATGTAAACAAAAACTTGAATAATAAAATTCATAAAATGATGATAGTTGAGTGAAAAACTGTATACTTAAACTTAAATAAAATATTTTAATATATTTGAGAGTCTAATTTCTACATAATATTTTTAGCAGAATGACATAATAAAGTTTTATATGTACTTCCTCAAAATTTGTGTTACACAGTGGATGAGTGCATGTCATATTCTTTGAGTGCAATGTCTCCATCAGCAACTCATCCTTGTGGTTTCCATAGTAATGGTTGATCCAAAACAAAAAGCAAGAGGCCAAAGTCCTATCCATTCATGGTGATGGTTGTAAAGCACGAATTAGACGCTCTGTCCCATTTTCCGAGCAATTCACGAAGTTGACTTTGCCTTAATCTTGACCCTTCTTCATCTACTAGATAGAACCGAAGGATTTTAATTTATTGTTACTGCAAACCATAAACTGCAGCACAATGATATCCATCTATCCATGGTAGTGCTCCAAAACTGACACATCCATGGCTTCCAAGAAGACTCTCCTTCTATTTACTTTTCTCAGCCTTTTTGCAGCAATTGATTCACAAAACGACCCTTTCTTTCTCTACAAAGATTGCTCCAGCGACACAACCAATCCCAACACCTCATTCCAATCTAATCTCAAAATCCTCCTTTCTTCCCTATCATCAAATTTCAGTGGCAACACCGCCTATTACAGTACCAAAATCACCGGTGAAAACCCTTCAGACTCGATCTATGGACTGTTCATGTGTAGGGGTGATGTGTCCTCTCTGTTCTGCCATCAATGTGTCTTAAATGCAACCCAACTACTATCCTCAGACTGCTCCTTGTCCAAACAAGGTGTGACTTGGTACGAAGAGTGCATGGTTTGGTATTCCACTTCTCTTATTTTCTCCACTGTCACCACAACGCCTAGTAATACCATGAAGAACTGTGGTAACGTCTCAAACCAAGAAAGCTTCATGAATTTAGTGTTCTTGACACTGAACCAAACTGCACATGAAGCAGCACAATCAACTATTGGTAACAGGAAGTTTGCAACAAGGGAAGCAACAAACGTGTCTGGATATCAGAACCAAACCCTTTATTGTTTATCTCAGTGCACGCCGAATCTGTCACCCCTTGATTGCAGAACATGTCTTAAAGATGCCATAGAAAAAATTCCAGGGTGTTGTGAAGGAAGGATAGGAGGGAGAGTTCTATATCCTAGCTGTAATGTCAGGTATGAAATGTACCCTTTCTACACTATTCCTTCAGCAACACCTATACCAAAACTTGTTCCCGAAACAAAAACTTCCCATGCAGATTCAATCCTTTCAGAAAATCCTATTTATCTTTCCCATAATTGCACAAACCAAACCTCTTTCACTGCAAACAACACCTTCCAAACACACCTCCATACTCTCTTCTCTAACCTGGCTTCTAATGCCACCAGTGGCAATATGTTTTACAAGACTGAAGTGGCTAACACAGTGTTTGGTGTTTTCTTGTGCCGAGACCGAGAGGATCTTCCCTCAGGCCTATGTGGTGAGTGTGTCAAAAGCGCATCACATGAAATATCATCAAAGTGTCACTCGTCCCATGAAGCTATAATTTGGTACAGCCAGTGCATGCTTCGGTATTCCTATATGAATTTCTCCAATAAAGTGGAAATAGGTCCTATGTTTTCTGAGTTGAACACCACCAACGAGGGTAAGGAGCAAAGTTTCTTTACGGTGAAGTTGGCAAAGACGTTGGATCAAGTGGCAATCCAGACAGGGGACAGTGGTGAGAGATATGGAACAAAGACAACAAAATTGAATGATTTGCAAACCCTTTATGCTCTTGCTCAATGTACACAGGATTTGTCCATTGAAGACTGCAAGGGTTGTCTAGGGATTTTGATTGGAACATCAATTCCATGGTCTCGTTTGGGAAGCACTGGAGGCAGAGTTTTCTATCCTAGCTGCAATATCAGGTTTGAATTGTTCCAATTTTTCAAAGCCATCAACGAAACTGGGACCTCATCATCAGGTACTTTCCAAATTTATTAAGATAAGTGTTATCACACTTTTTCTAATACATATTCTAAAATTGTTAAATCCTATTAAAAATTATAAAATTATAATTTTTTAATAAAAAATACGAATCATAAAAAAATATTGTTTTTAATATATTCTAATTAACAATAAAAAAAGGTGTTTAAAAAGTGCAGCTAAGAAATGTTTTAGGATTTTTTTAATCAATTATTTATTTGTATTCTCCATTTGATGCTTCAGTTTTGTTTTTTTCTCTCTATTATTTATTTATTTATTTTAATCCCTTACACTTCTCTTCAAATTTCATATATTTTTTTCTTCATGTTGTCTTCTCCATATTCATCTCTTCCCGAATTCGTCTCGATCATAGATGTTTTTTTTTTTATCAATATAATATTTATAATAAATTATATATTTGATAATAATTAAGTATTTTAACTAAACAAAAAATTAAAATTTAATAAATAATTTAAAATGAAAGTAATTCAAACTGAATATATTTAAATTTTATGAGATTCCCTATGAACAATGTTAATTTTTTCGTTATACATGTCGCATTTATCAACTTTTCTTTTCCATCTTTTTCTACTATCATAACAAGGGTATAAACAACGAAGTAGTGTTACATGGTTCTGTAAATATAAACATATTTACTCAGTTTAATTTCATAGATTTCTACCCAGAACTTGTTTTACAAAAAAATGGTTAAAAATTGTTGGTACAAACAAACTAAAATTTTATTATAAAATAGGTAAAGGTGTACGTTGTTCGACTATTCCCATTTATATTTGACAGGAAAATACAATAAATTTATTCAATTTTCTACATTTAATTCTCAAAAAGAAAAATAGACCACAAAGAGTTAAGGCCAATATATGGAGAAAGTAAGTAATTTCACTTTTATCAACTATGATGACCTTTCTTAACTTGTTCACGTTAAGAATCCAAGTCTGAAATAAAATCTCTGACATGAGTTAAAATTTGAGCATAAACAAAAATGAATAGGTTGAATAACTTATAAATGAAAAAAATCATGACTGAGTAACTTAAAGTTTAAGATTGAAGGTATTTTTATACCCCATTTCACCAATTCCATGAGAGTAAGATGTGTTGATTGTTTTGTGCAGAAAGAAGAACAAGAAAAGACCTGTTGCGAATAATTATCTTGAGTGTTGTGTTGGCTAGTATTTCAATGGCGTTATTCTTTGCAGCTTACTGTTTTCTGCGTAAAAAAGCAAGAATGAAGCATGCAGCAATTATGGAAGAAAACTGTACGTATTATAAAACAATCTGCATGCCTTGTCAGCTTCAATATTTTTAACATTTATTGTTAACCTTTCAATCATTTTCATTCTGAGGAATTTTAAACTTTAATTTCAATCATGTTTCATCTAGTTGGTCGCGAAATTTCACCTTCAGAGTCGTTACAGTTTGATTTGGCTACCATTAAAGTAGCAACTGATAACTTTTCAGACCAGAATAGAATAGGCAAAGGTGGATTTGGAGTGGTTTATAAGGTGAAGATTTTAACAATTTTTTTTTTTTTTTTTTTTTTGTATTTTCAAATGAATAATAGTGTATATATTTTCAGGGTATTCTTCCAGATGGATCACAAATAGCTGTAAAGAGATTATCAAAAAGTTCAAAACAAGGAGCAAATGAATTCAAGAACGAAGTTTTATTAATAGCCAAACTTCAACACAGAAATTTGGTCACACTAATTGGTTTTTGTCTTGATGACCAAGAAAAAATACTCATTTATGAATATGTGGCAAACAAGAGTCTTGATCACTTTCTATATGGTTAGAAACTCTAGAACTTCAACTCCTTGTAATCAATGTATAGATCTATGCATTGTGCATGATGTTCTATGATCTTAATTGATTTCATTATTTTTTTTGTAAAACTTACTTCATTCTTACATTCTCAAACAATTTTGTAGATTCCCAGCGGCGAAAGCTATTAAACTGGTCTCAACGTTATAATATTATAGGAGGAATTGCTCGAGGAGTTCTTTATTTACATGAACACTCTCGATTAAAAGTTATTCATCGTGATCTCAAACCTAACAATGTTTTATTAGATGAATATATGATTCCAAAAATTTCAGATTTTGGTCTTGCAAGAATTGTTGAAATAAATCAAGATAAAGGAAGTACAAGTATGATAGTTGGAACATAGTAAGCTTCTACTGTCCATTATTATTCTTTCCTCTATTCTTTTTTTAAATGGTTTTGTTTTATATAATTTGATTTTTGTTTTAATTTTTGTTGTATATAGTGGTTATTTATCTCCAGAATATGCAATGTTTGGACAATTTTCTGAAAAATCAGACATTTTCAGTTTTGGTGTTATGATTTTAGAGATTATAAGCGGAAAAAAAAATTCCATCTCTTGTGAATCACACCGTCGTACTGGTGGCCTCCTAAATTATGTGAGTACAACATTCTAATTTTTCCATGATATATTTATATGCCATGCACCTATTTTACACACACACACACACACACACACACACACACATATATATATATATATATATATATATATATATATATATATATATATATATATATATATATATATATACATATGGATATTGATTCAGACACAAACATATATAGGTTTGGAGGCAATGGAAAGATCGAACACCACTGAACATATTGGATCCATATATTACAGAAAATTATTCTGAAATAGAGATCATGAAGTGCATTCAAATTGGCTTATTATGTGTTCAACAAGACCCAGAAGCTAGACCAACAATGATGACCGTTGTTTCATATCTCAGTAGTCATTTTATTGAATTGCCAACACCAGAAGAACCTGCATTTTTCTTGCACGGTAGAAGGGATGAAAATACCCTTGTGATGGAATCAAGTTTCAATCAATCTATCAATGCTTCTACACCATTCTCTAACAATGAGTTATCTACAAGTCAATTTCTTCCTCGATAGTAAGTTAATATTTTCTCCTTTAATTACTTGCTACTGTCTCGGTAAACATCGAGTCACAAGTTTTTCTTTTTCTTTCTTTCATTTTATTCATTGGTCCTTTACTTATTCAAAATGTATTTATGATCCTAATATTAATAAATCCAAGCAAAACAAGTAGATATGCGATCGAGGGCAATACTATATTCCAGTAGATAAGATGTTTTTGAGATTCAAATACTGTTGTACGTGCTATAAATGTGAGCTCTGTGGTAAAGAAAAGCTAGCAAGAGTTTTTCACAATCTTATTATGATAACAAAGTGTGGTGCTTTAGATGTTCTTGTTAGGGTACTATCATCATGACTTAAGTCCAAATAATTGATATATGTTTTGTGTTGTCATATAGGCTAAATCATGCATTGTTGAATTGCAGGCTTCTTAACCTTTGCATGTGAAGAAAAATACTTTGCCTGTGTCTTGACTAAAGGGATTACAACTGGTGTTTTCATGATGGATGATTCAAGCTTTCTGGGTTAATTAGGTTACAGGGAAGACTGTATATGTTTGGCATAACACTTGTCTAGGATGCTTATTTCTCGAATAATCAGGTACTGTATATAGGAAGAATGCTTCTTAGGTCAAATACTGCTAATTTGGTGGTTGCTATTGGTTTATTTCAATTTTGATGATTGGAAAGCTTCTCGCATGGATGAGTTTATTGCGAATAAAAGGACGATAAGTTCAGCATGTTAGATAAAAGATAATAAAAAAATAATTTGGGAGGTTTTATAACTTGAGTGTGTTAGATAAAAGATAATAAAAAAATAAATTGGAGGTTTTTATTTCTTAATATAAGATTATTAGGAGTTTGTGACACAATATAAATAGACAATTGTATTCTTTGTCAAGGTACAAGAAGAAATAATAAAAATCAGTTTTTAAAAATTCTTTATTATTAAATTGATATAAAAAGCCTAAGTTATTTTGGAAGAATTAGGATTTTCTTAAGAGTTTGAGTTTTTGAGCATCATAAAAAGTTGAAGAGTGAGAATGGTTGGTCGGACGAATGTTGTAATTGTGTCCCGTCCGACAAAGGATACTGGTTATGATAGATGGAGTGTTAAAATGAAGGTTTTTTTCAAAGTTCAAGATTGCTGGGAAGTAGTATAGGAAGACTTTGGAGATTTAGAAACCACGTAAGGATGAACATCCTCCGCTTTCAAGACATTGAAGGAGTAACGTTTGACGAGATTGCAGAAGCTACATCGAAGTATGAGATGAGTTGGAGAAAGAGTACAAAAATGATAACTGAGTCATACGAATTCGACAACAAACACTACATAGTGAGATGTAAAGTATGATAATGAAGATGCGTTTTTCATAGAACAAATCGTTGAAAAGATCTTGAGGTTATTAACAGGTGAATTTGAAAGCAATAATGTGTGCGATAGAACAAATAAAAGACTTGTCCGATCTTACAATAAAAGAGTTGGCTGACTCTCTTAAAACCTATGAACACAGAAAGAAGAGAAGGAAAGAGGAGACGATTGTGAAATTGCTCTAGAACCAGACAAAAGAGGAGAAAATTCTTTATTATGAGAATAATAAAGATAGAGGATGAGGATGCAATGGTTGAGGGCGAAGTGGATGATCTAACCGAGGTGGCCGAGTCAGCGGAACAAAAATGATGAGGTAGAGGACGTGGTCAAAGAGGAAGCCAGTTAACGGACCACTCAAACATCGAGTACTTCAAGTGTGACAAGTATGATCACTATGCAAATGATTACTACTTGGACAAATGTTTCAACTGTGAAAAGATATTTTACTAAAAAATGTCAAAAGGTGAGGGGTGAGACCTATTTCACAAAAGGAACAAAAGAATCAACACTCATGATGGCTGATCACAATTTGGTGATACACAAAGAAGCATATGACGATCATAACACGAAAAATACACTTGAGAGTAGATTACAACTCGGACAACTTGGTTTGGTTCCTAGATACAAAGGCGAGTAATCATATGTCTTACGATAAGCCTCTTTCTGTCGTTTGAAGACACTTCGAGAGTTTCGGTAAAAGACCTAGGAGTTTGTAAAATGATGAACTAGTTAGGACGATCCAAGATATGTATTTTATCTTTGATCTCAAAAACAATATTTTGAGTATGTGACAACTGATAGAGAAAAAATATTCGATTTTCTTGAAAGACCGAGTACTATAGTTGAAGGACAAACACAAAAGGCTGATTGCACGGGATGAGATGGAGAAGAACAAAATATACAAGTTGTAGTTGAAGAGTATTCATGAGAAATATATGAAACTTAACATGGAGGACACAGTGATGATTTGACATCATCGGTTTGGTCACTTGAGTTTTGGAGGGGTAGTCAAATTGTTAAATAAAAGTATGGTGCTCGGACTGCCGAACTTAGAGAATGAAAGAAGATTATGCGAAGATCGTGTTCTCAAAAAATTGGCAAGAACCCCCTTTCTGAGAGTGTTGAATACTGAACGAATGAACAACACAAGCTTAATCATTTAGCGATAAGAAATATGTCATGAAGTTTGTTGATAATTTCTCTAGAAAGACGTGAGTGTACCTACTAAAAGAGAAATCAAAAGTGTTCAAAGTATTCAAGAAGTTAAAGGTGATGGTTAAAACTGTGACTGAGTGGCATATCAAGTCAGTTCGATTTGATAGAGGAGGAAAATTTATGTCGGCAGCTCTCATAAAATACTGTGAAGATGAAGGAATAAGGAGATATCTAACAACCTCGTACTTACCACAACAAAATGGTGTGATTGAGAGAAAGAACAAAATTGTTCTTAACATGGTCCGAGTTATGTTGAAAACAAAAATATGCCAAAGGAGTTTTGGACAGAAGTAGTGCAATATGCTATATAGCATTCAACGTCGGTTCTGGAAGGCTTTCAACGTCGGTTCTGGAAGGCTTTCAACGTCGGTTTAATAACCGACGTTGTATCAGGCGACGTTGAAAGTCGTAACTTTCAACGTCGGTTATAATAAACCGACGTTAAAGTTTTTACTTTAGATAGCGGTTATAAGGGAACCGCTATCTAATATAGACTTTAGATAGCGGTTGTAAGGGAACCGCTATCTAATATAGACTTTAGATAGCGGTTATAAGAGAACCGCTATCTAATATAGACTTTAGATAGCGGTTATAAGGGAACCGCTATCTAATATACGATTATAAGTCTACTTTCAACGTCGGTTTATTAGAGCCGAGCGTTGAAAGTATGATTTTTTAAATTAATAATTTTTATTTATTTACAACCCCTTTACCCCCTTTTATTTATCTAGAAGTCTCCCTCTCTTCATATTATATTTTTATTAGGTCCTCCATCTCTTTATATTATATTTTTTAGAAGTTATTTAATTTTTAAGAGAATTGTCATTGGCGGGATTCGAACCCAAGTACTTTAGAGTTGGAGGTCGATATTCCAACCACTAAACTACTTGAATTTTTTATAATAACTTACAAATAAATTATATTTATATACAAATAAATATATATCCGTGTAATTATCACTACTAGAAAAATGTCAAATAGTAACTTCGAATCTCAACCCGACCTCAACCTCGACGAACTCGAGGCCGAACCCCAACTCTGGCGACATCGAACCCCAATGTCAAGCCAAACCCAATTGTCATGCTTTGTGAAACCCAACGCTTTGTTTTAAGCGATACGACAACGTTTATATCAATTAAAACACTTTACAAAAAATCTTCTAAGTTGATTTAATCGATTGTTTCGCGATTCAATCGATTGAAATACTTGTAAAACTTTCGCGTGACACTTTTCAAGTAATTTTAAGCTGATAAAAATAAGTTTTAATCGATTAAAACGTTGTGCAGAAATTGTTTTAATCGATTGAAATGAGATTTAATCGATTAAAATAGTTCGATCGGTCATAATCGCATTCGATCGATCATAATTGAAACAATATAATAGCGGTTCCAGGTTAACCGCTATCTAAAATGTATCTCGCTTGAGCGACACCCTTCTCGCTCGAGCGAAACGCCCCTGCACAAAATTAGCATTCTCGGGTTGTATTTCGCTTGAGCGACACTACCCTCGCTCGAGCGAAATTAGATTCGATCGATCATAACTTGAAATGATCGATCATAATTGACAGGATATAATAGCGGTTCCCTTATAACCGCTATCTAAAGTGTATTTTAGATAGCGGTTATAAGGGAACCGCTATCTAAAGTGCATATTAGATAGCGGTTATAAGATAACCGCTATCAATAGAAAGTAAAAAATAAAATAAAAAAAGACTTTCAACGTCGGTTCATATGGGAACCGACGTAGAAAGTACTTTCTACGTCGTTTGAGTAAGAACCGACGTAGAATGTGACCAACATTCAACTTTCAACGTCGTTTTTTAACCAACCGACGTTGAAAGTGTATTTAACGTCGGCTCAGCTTGAACCGACGTTAAATGGCGACGTTGAAAGCATATTTTGTAGTAGTGTATATATATGTGCAAAATAGGTAGCCACATTTAAAGTTAGATGATATAACATTACAAGAGGAATGGAGTGGTCAAAAGCCAATTGTGTCTCATCTTAGAGTGTTCAAAAGTTTAGTTTATAGAGTAGTTCTATCTCAACAACGAACTAAGCTTGAAGACAAGAGTAGGAAATATGTGTTCATTGGTTATGATGGACCATCGAAAGTTTATAAGCTATTAGATAATATTAGTAAGATGATGATTATAAATCGTGATATTTGATTTGATGAAGCAAATGAGTGGAACTAGAGAGAATCAAAGGAAGACAAAGGAGGGCGAGCTGTTGCACTGCCAGTTGTTTTCAGTTCGGAAGAAGAGGAGGAGGAGGATGAACCACGACCGAGAATGTGGAGTTTGTGAGACTTATATGATTCAATTGATGAGGTTTATATTGTTTGTCTTTTGACAGATTATGAGGACATCACATTTCAGGGGCCTATGTGTGATGAGAAGTGGCGAGCTACCACGGATGATGAGATTTGTGTTATTGATCGAAATAAAACTTGGGCAATAACTTAGCTACCGAATAATGTTTGGCGTTGAAGTAAATATTGATATATATCTAAGGTACACTATCACTCAGACTATTGTACAAAAAGTTGAACAATTATCGACTCATTGAGTACTCGAATAGTGACTGGTGTGGAGATGTGGATGATCTCGAATTGTTGTACACAAAGTCGAACAATTATCGGCTCATCGGGTGCTCAGATAGTGATTGATGTGAATGATTGAAGTACATTGAGGTATGTACTCTTCATGGGTAAGACAGTGTTTACCTGAATTTCAAAAAAGTAACCCATAGTAACATTGTCAACCTATGAAGTTGAGTACGTAGTAACATCGTGGAGTGTGTGCCATGTTGTGTGACTTAGAAATTTGTTAAGTTTGGTGAGGAGAAATAACTCGGTGTAACCGTAATCTAAGTTGATAACAAGTTAGCCATTAAACTGATGAAGAATCCGATCAATCATGAGAGGAGCAAACACATTGATGTGCACTTTCACTTCATCCGAGAACATGTGAAGGAAGGGAATGTGGAACTCGTATATATGTGACAAACTGAAATCAAATTGTTGATATTTTCACAAAGCCATTGTCTGCTTATTCCAGAACTGTAAGAGATTGGTCGGGATGAAGGGTAGAAGGAACTTTGGTGTTCGGGAACCTGGATGTTTAACAAATTGACAATTCGGCTAAGTTGGGAGCTCGAAAAGTTTTGAAAACGACAAGTCAGGAGGTTAGGAGATTGGTCGTATCCATCTTAATTTTTATTGCAGAGAAATTTAATTTTATGGGGGAGTTTTGTGGGATAAAATAAAATTAAAAAGATAATAAGAAGATAATGTTTGGTAAAATTAAAAAGATAATTAATTTAAGAGTTTATTGGGATAAAATTAAATAAAAAAAGATAATTATGAGTTTGTTATGATATTTTGATATTGATGATATATTAGATGATTATTAATTGATTATGAGAAGATAAAATTATGATATTTGTGGCATGACAAATATTCAATAAAAATAAGTTTCCAAACAGTATTTGTTTCAACTATGTAAAAGAAAAAACACCAACAAAAAAAGTTAATCATGAACATAAAAGTTAATCATGGGTTGATATTATGAATAATAAAAAAAAAACATTGTAAAATATTTCATGTATGGAATCGGGACACTGGTAGAAAATTTTGTTCTAAAAATTGCCTGTAAATTTCGCTACATTGCGTATATATACATGTTCTCCAATTATTAAAAAGATAAGCAATTAACATAAATGAAATCTTTACGCCAACTACTTTAGTATTATTACAACCACAAATGCATCAGGTATAACTTAGGCTAATATTATTGAGTCATAAATCAAGAAAAATTAACAGCTTGAACACAACCATGCATGTATAATTTCAATGGAAAATCCAACATTGACAAGAAGAAAAGATACATCACAGTATTTTAAGTTCACGACTCAATAGACTTTGAATCCATTTCCGAGTGCAAGACAAATGCAGGTTTTTGTGGAGTTGGTAATTCGATAAAATGACCATCTTGAATTGTTATTCTAGAGACATATAACCACTAAAAATTTTGGTGTTTTCATCAACCTATTTCATGCCTCCGTCTAAAGACACCAAGGAGAGTCTCCTGGACATACGAAAACTTGGGTGTCCTACAATGGAATTTAATAATACTAAAAAATTATAGGACTCACAACATTTTACTCAAACAAAACCATTTTACACAAGCATTATAGGATTCACACCAGGTCTGATAGAAGATGGAGGGTACTATATATTGTGTTTTCATTGTTCTTGTAATGTACTGCTGCAATTGGGTTATGTTCTGCTAGATTATATATAGAGAGATATAGATGGATGTCCTAGTGTACAGTTGGTACTCATTCCTGTGGTTAGTGTTCTTCTATTTTGGGTTCAGTATCATTTGTACCTTCTTTATATATAAATCTTTTCTATTGCTGATAAAGAAAGGTAAATTATATTCTACTTTCGTACACTCTTTTCTTATGATATCACTTAAGTTTGTGTAGGAAGAGCCTCTGCTAAATCATTTCAAAGCATCTTTTAAGGTGGACAAGTAAATGTGTAAAACATCCATATGAGCTCCATTAAAATTAGAAGTTAATTTAGATGGTGCAATATGAAATTTCAATTAACAATGCCAATTTCATAACTTAAAAATAATAGCTTATGTTTACAAAATATCTGTTCTGGATTGGTGTTTTAAAGGTATACTTTTTGAGAGAGAGGGAGAGAGAAAATGCTTACTTTTTTTTTTACTTAAAAATTAAGAATCTCATGTGACTTTATTTTCCTTTATTTAATTTTTCTGACATGTTGGTCCCCTCCCCTGTATTAAATGGTATCCATGTAGTGGTGATACACGTCCCTTTCTTATACATATCAGAATTTTACACATGGACTACTTATTATGGGGACAAGAATCTCATGTAACTTGCTCTATTAAATTTTCTTTATATATAAGTTTAGCTTTCAACATCCTCTTTCCATGTTCACCTCACAAACATCAATATATGCTATATTATTCCCATTTCTTTGGAATTTTCATGTTCCCAAATAAACCCATTTGCACTCGACCTTTAGAAACCTACTGCGGGTTTTAGAACTCAACAATATCAAAGAAATATATGCAAACTCTTCTGTCCCTAAGATTAGAATGGGCAGTGACACATTTACACAACAAAGATATATGGAAAAATAAAATTCACCCGTGGAGTTGGGATCCATATGCCAACATTAGGATAAAGGACTAGGAAAATAAGTTGTGTAGAAGCCCTCTCTACATTCCTCCAAGTTTTGGAGATTCGTAAAATTGCAATTAATTTTCAGTAGCAAATCATAAATTACCAGTCTTATTAGTCATCATATAGATTGCAGATACACTTGAACTTCCACTCGTGCCTTTTCTTTTGGTCTTGCTACACAAATAGTTTTACATGGTCTGGGGAATATTGGAACCAAGCTTGATGGTAGGTGGAAGCTGTGGCGAGTTCCACTGGTGAGGTGGCAGTAGGGGAAGCCATGGATAGTGTAGGATCGAGAAATATGCAGTGAAGCCTTAGGCTAAACTGCTACCATGTAAGGAAGCGGATCAAATATGATTTATTATTTATGCATTAATTAGCAAGTTGTTGCACATGATGCATACATAGCCAAAGTGGTTTTGCAGAAGGATAAATACAAAGATAGTATAGATATTAGATAGAGACAACTGAGAAATACTAGAGATAGAAGATAGAGATAAACTTGAAAGATTGAAACTTTGTTGTTTAAAATAACTGCTATTTCATCAACTCAGCTGATCATAGAAAGGGTACAATTCATACCTAGCATTACAACTGGGATAAAGAACTCTCCCTCCTAGCTTCCCTTGACAGCACCATGGAAGGTCCCCTATCAATGCACTGAGACAGGTTCTGCAATCTTTGGGTGACAGGTCCGGAGTGCATTGAGCTAGACAATAAAGCCTCTGAGATCCAGAAGTTTTTGCTTGCCTTCTGGAAAACTTGTTACCAACAAGGGGACGAGCAGCATCATCTGCAGTTTGGTTCATGGTCTGAAACAATAAACGCATAAAGCTTTTCTGGTTTGGGATATTGGCTGTGTTCATCATGCCAAGTCTAGGCCTGGTGTCGAAAGTAGAGAAGAATGAGCGATTGGAATAACGAACGGTGCACTCATCGTACCAAATCACAGCTTGGTTAGCCAAGGAGCACTCTGTTGATAGTCGCTGAGTAGCATCTTGGACGCATTGTTGACAAAGCTGAAAAGGGACGTCACCTCTGCACATGAAAAGTCCAAAGACTGAGTCAGAGGGTTTTTTTTGTTAGGATAAACTGGAATTGAATATGACATTCTAATGATCAAACATATATTTATAAACATGTTATAAACTAAATGCGAAAACGTACTTGAATTGGCCATAATGATGATATTCTTTGTAGAACACTTTTGATTTGATCGTAAGGTCTTCCACCTGAAGAGTACCTGTATTTCCCTCTTGATTTTCTTTCTTGATGGGGATAGAAAGAAAGGAACGGGACTGTAACTATGTTCTGTCTGTGTGCTCTCAGAAGGAGACCATGACCCTTTAAATAACCAAAATTAGGTTAATTACTTAAGTTTTAGTATTTTCAATTTGTCTCCTCATCAAATTAGAAATTACTCTTTGGTCTCTACACAATCATATTTTCATGACATATGTCTTTAGCCAAAACTTTAATTTATTCAAATCACTTATTATTTGGCTTAATAAATAATGACCCTAACACATTTAAATATGTATCATATATATACATGACCCAAAATTTGCCAACAATCTCCCACTGGTCACAAATATATATGTCTTTACAACCTTACAAATGTGTTAGACTTTATGAGCTCAAAATTGTCATTATATTCCTTTAGCATATTCCAAAAGTCTCGTCCATTAATCACATCGGGATATAGAACCAAACCAGACTTTTCATTGCATCATCGCAACTAAAACCAACAATGATTACTCATCCCGACATAACCAAATGACATGGATTCATCATGAAATGTGTAACATGAAAAATTACGTGAATGTGATCTGTACACGTCTATTTTCAACTGGTCCAAACTTTAACTTATCGAGATCGATATAATAACCTTAATGTACAAAGTGTAATGAATGAACAAAAAATCGCATATCTATAGATAACCAAATATGTCCAAAAAATCAATGTATACATATATAAAATTAAACATAGAACATAAAATATATGAAAATGACTAACTCCCACTAAACCACAAACTCCTCAAACTATTAAACACCCATGTGAGCAACATGCTCATGAAAGACCTTGGGCGGAAGTCCTTTAGTTAGAGGATCTCGCTATCATGGAGTTTGTCCCTAAATGTTCTATGGAAATCATGTCCACTCGTACTCTTTCCTTAACAACTAGGAACTTAATGTCGATGTGTTTTGACTTAGTCGAACTTCGTTGTTGTTGGAATACAATACTGCTGATTTGTTGTCACAATATAACTTAAGTGGTCTTTCAATGCCTTTCACAATTTGCGGCCACGTGACAAAATTTCTCAGCCATATTCCATGATTCGACACCTCATAGCATGCTACAAATTCTGCTGCCATAGTGGATGAAGGCTGTAAGGGTTTGCTTGACATCGCGCCAAGAAACCGCACCACCTCGCTAACATGAAAATGTAGCTCGAAGTGGATTTCAAACTATCTTGACATCCTGCAAAGTCCGAATCGGAAAACCCAGCGATCTCCAACCGGTCCGACCTCCTTTATGTGAGCATGTAATCTTTTGTTCTCTTTAAATATCTCATGACCCTTTTTTCGCTTTCCAATGGTCCATTCCTGGATTGCTTAAATATCCGTCTAGAACCCCAACTATGTATGCTATGTCCGGACGCGTACATACTTGGGCATACATCAAACTCCCTACAACTGATGCATAGGGAATCTTTTGCATTTTCTCAATTTCCAAATTTCCCTTTGGGCACTGATTGAGACTAAACTTGTCTCCCTTAGCAACTGAAATATCCCCGGATTTACATTCATGCATGCCAAACCTTTTAAGAATTTTTTCGATATAGTTCCTTTGTGATAATCCTAAAATACCCCGACATCGATCTCGGTGTATCTGAATTCCTAATACAAAAGACGCATCACCAAGATCTTTCATTTCGAAATTCTTTGATAAAAATTTCTTGGTTTCGTGCAATATGCCTATATCATTAGTGGCAAGTAGAATGTCATCAACATACAAGATCAGGAAAATATACTTACTCCCCTTAAACTTGTGATATACACAATCATCAACAATATTCATCTCGAAGCCAAATGAGAGAATTACTTGATGAAATTTATAGTACCATTGACGAGATGCTTGTTTTAGTCCATAAATGAATTTTGTCAGTTTGCAACCCATACTCTTTGAATCTCCCTGCACAAAATTTTCTGGTTGCACCATATAAATCGTCTCATCAATGTTGCCATTAAGAAACGCCGTCTTGATATCCATTTGATGAAGCTCCAAATCATAATGTGCTACAAGAGCCATAATTGTCCTAAAAGAGTCTTTCGATGAAACTGGAGAGAAAGTCTCTTTAAAGTCAATCCCTTCCTTTTGGGTATAGCCCTTAGCTACTAGACGAGCCTTATACCTTTCCACATTATCTTTAGAATCCCGTTTGGTCTTAAATATCCACTTGCAACCAATGGGTCTCATACCTTCTGGTAATGGGACAAGTTCCCAAACCTTGTTGTCTTGCATGGACTTATACTCCTCCTTCATTGCTTCAATCCACTTTTCAGAGTTAGAACCTTGCATGGCTTGACGGAAGTTAACTGGGTCATCTTCCATCATACCATTGTTTTCCTCATGTTCCTGAAGAAATACCATGTAATCATCCAAAATAGCATTTCTTCTTTCTCTAGTGGATCTCCGCAAAGTTATTGGCTCATGATGCACAGATTCTTGAGGATCTTGAGTTTGTTCTTCATGAACAACCAAATCATCTTGAGTAAGGGGTTCATTAACAATGCCTTGTGGAGGTTCCGAACTTACTTTATCAAAAGTAACTGTTTGAATCGGTTCTGGAATTGTTACCGATTCTTCCTCCAAGACAAAGTTCCTGATTTTATTCTTCCCCCCAAACTCAATATCCTCAAAGAACGTAGCAGTTCCCGTCTCAAAAATTGTCTTTAATGTGGGATCATAAAATTTATATCCCCTGGATCTTTCAGCATAACCAATAAAATAACTACTTACTGTTCGGGAATCCAATTTCTTTTCATTTGGCTTATAAGGCCTTGCCTCAGCTGGACAATCCCATACATGGAAATGCTTCAAACTAGGTTGTCGCCCAGTCCAAAGCTCATAAGGTGTTTTGGTCGCTGCTTTAGTTGGTACTCTGTTTAGAATATAAGCTGCCGTCTTTAGTGTCTCTCCCCAGAGTGACTCTGGTAAGGTGGAATGACAAATCATACTCCTGACCATATCTTTAAGAGTCTGATTTCGTCTTTCAGCTACACCATTCATGCTAGGTGATCCCGGTATGGTATACTCGTGGGACAATTCCACACTCCTCTAGGTACTCGACAAAAGGTCCCGGACGCCGTTCACCCGACCGTCAAATCTGCCATAGTACTCACCACCACGATCAGATCCGACGGACTTAATTCGTTTATTGAGTTGATTTTCAACTTCGACTTTAAATGTTTTGAACACGTCTAGAGATTGTGACTTTTCATGTATAAGGAATAAGTATGCATATCGTGAGTAATTGTCTATGAATGATATAAAGTATTGTTGATCTGTAATATCCTAAATTTTGTAATCAATTATATAAATAAATTTTGTAAGTTATAAATATGTACCGAATATTATGTAGAGTTATTATAAAAATAAAACATGATTTTTATAGTAATTTTGTCTTAAGAAAATTATAAAATAAAATCCAAGGTTAATATTGTGTCAAATAATAATTTAATAATAATTCTTAATAATAAAAATTAAATAAATGAGTAAATAAATATTTAGAAAAAAAGAAGAAGAGAGAAACGTAAGGTCGGTAGTGGCCTAAATACATTTGAATTAAGTCGGTGAAGAATCAGAATTAAATTAAGGCGGTGAAGAATAAAGACAACGAAGAAAATCCTAGAAAGAATTAAGTCGATGAGTAAGTTTATAAATAGGAGGAAACTGGAAACATACACCAACACAATTCACGACCAACTTGAAGAATAAACCGAGAGACACCAGAATTCTTGGAAGAAGAATTCGAGAGAAAGGAGGAAAGGAGGAACATACAAAATTAGGAGAGTAATAAGATATTGAGGAATCAGGTATGGGTTAGACATTTAGTTTTATTCATACGAAAGTCTGTAATTGGAGATTACTATTCATCAATTGCAAAGATTGAAATATTGTTGAAATTCTTTCAATTAAGGATGAATTATATAATAAAATTGTTGTTTTTAACTTAAATTGAACATATTTATGGTTTAATTTTGATTTGGAACAAATTTGAGTGATTGAAACTGAGAAATTTGAAACTTGGATTTCGATGAAAATCTGCAAAACTCGCTCAAGCGAAAAATATGTCGCTTGAGCGAGGATACCTGGAAATTTTGGGATTCTTGGGTTCTTTATCGCTCAAGCGATAATTACATCGCTTGAGCGACTAACGGTCATGTCTCGCTCAAGCGACAAGTGTACTCGCTTGAGCGACGAAAGCTTCAAACAAAGGGGACTCTCGGGTCATTACTCGCTCAAGCGACCGATGTACTCGCTTGAGCGACGAAGCCTTCAAACAAAAGGAGACTCTCGGGTTCCATCTCGCTCAAGCGACCGGTATACTCGCTTGAGCGAGCGAAGGAAGAAGAAAGGACTAGGTGGGAATTTTTGCAAAAGATCAAGGGTAAAATAGTCATTTCACATATTAGGGACATAAATGGAATTTTGAAAAAGGTTAAGGGTATAATCGAAATAAAGTCAAACAATATATTACCCCCTCTTTGTTTACTAGGAAAATGACTCAATAAACGTTAGAATTTGAGGATAGTGCCTTCATCAAAGTTATAGATTATTATGTTATCTTTCCAACACAATTGGAATCATCTTAAAATGAGGTCTAGAACTCAAGATATGGACAAAACACCGAACCCTATGAAATAAATTATTAATAAAAATTGTCTTGCTTAAAACAACTATGAATTGTAATTAAAATTTTGAATATATGAAGGAGATGTTTTTAAGTATTTAATTGATGATAGATTGTTTTGTTTCATAC